GGAGAATGGCGTGAACCCGGGAGGCGGAGCTTGCAGTGAGCCGAGATCGCGCCACTGCACTCCAGCCTGGGCGATAGAGCGAGATTCCCTCTCAAAAAAAGAAAAAAAAAACAAGTACATCTAGCTGCCATTAGAATAAGGATAAGAACGAGGAATGATCTTAACTGCTTCCAGCTGACGGGGGCGCTGTTTTGGGAAAATGGCAGTCAGATCTCCCTCTGAGGCCCATCTCAGGGTTCCCTGTAGAAGGGGCCATCCTCTGGTGCTCTGGTTGCATGACTATTTGGAGTTTAATGGCCTGAAAGTGAGAAGAGATAAACTGGCTTATTAGAAAACATGTATCAAAAGGAAATAAGGACGGTGGGTAAGGACAGCTCAAAGATCCTGAGACCTTTTACTAGTTTGCACAGGGAGTGGGGAGCCAAAAGCCTGAGTGGTAAAAAAAAAAAAAATAAAATAAAAACGAAAAAAACCTTTTACTCTTTTGCTGGCATGTTGGGCTTCTGGGTTCCCTTCCCCTGAGTCCAATCTTAAGTTAACCAGTTTAAGGTTTGGGAAAGTAACTTTTTCCAGTTTGGAGGATGTATCCAAAGGGAGTATCCCGTAGTACCGAGATACAATACCTATCTGTGAAGGAAGGACAGAGGAGGAAAGAGGAAAGAAAATGACTTTTCTCCCCCAAAGGAATTCTGGGGTTCAGGATGCATTTGAAAGGGGTACAGCTTGAAGATGAATGGCTACTCCTCTATTAATAGAAAGAGGGGAGTGAGGCATCCCACATTCCCATCTCTTCCTAGCAAATACCCAGTGTACATGAGAAGTGAGGCATCCCTCTTTCTTTCTTCCATCCTTATATCCCTGAGTCTCAGGGACCACATCAGGGTGCCATCCATGGCTATCAAAGCAGCTTTCACTAATGTTAACCGGGGAGCCTAGGGGCTGGGAATATATACTCTTACTCATGTACGCCCTATCTCCCCTGCTGTCAGTAGCCATTGAGTTCCTTAGACTTCATTTATGCCATGGATATCAGCATGACCTTTTTTCATGAATTGGGAAGCTTGGCTTAATTGGCAGGAATCAGTCATGCTTACCTGTGCTGTGCCTTTTAACTTCTGTTATTGCCTGCACCTGGATCCTTCAGATCCAGCTTTCTTTCCTGGAGCTTTGACCCAAAGCTTGGAATTGAGTTTGGGACAAAAATGTGTCTGCGGGGGAGGGGGTTGCATAGACTCCTTATGATAAGCCAAATGCTAAGGTGGAATTGAGTCCTCCTCTAACAAGGGAGAGAAAAGGATGTCTGTGACATGCCCAGATAAGTGGTGGCTATATTTATTCTTGCTAAGATTTGGGTGCATGGGGCTTGGCTTTGGTTAACTCCCTTGGTCTTATTTTCCCAAATGGCAGGATGTGTAGGATAGTTTCTCAGAACCTGAATAGTGATCCAGATTTTTACATTACCCATCCCCTTTTGTTCCTTATGAGCTACAGCCAGAGATTGCTGATTGGTTCACAGGAATAAACAGGGTTAGTCTAAAATGTGGGCAAAAACTTAAAAACAGCGAATCTAAAAAGTCTAGAATTTAATGACAAATATTTAAGTTTTGAAATATAATTTCTTTCTCCCCAGTCCTCATTTTTGCTAAAAACAAATCATGATAGGACTGAGTTGTTTGCAAAATAGACTTTAGTCTTATATTTGACCTGATTATTTGCATAAAGTGCAGCAAAGATAATTATTTTTACATAGGCCTTTTAGACTGGCTTTGATGAAACTCTGTTCCACAAGGAATCTCAGATAAGACTTTCTAAAGCTGAGCCCTGCCAGGGGCTAGTACCCTCAAATACCTGAAAGTTGGGTAAATGCCTCTCCTCTTGAGATCCCAAGAGCATGGGGTTCCTGGATCTGTTAGAAAGTGACATTCTTTACTCACCACAAATTAGCAACCTGGTGTGGGGACTGTATAGACAACGTATCAGGCCAGTTTTCCCAACAGGCTTTTATCAGTTCTGCAAGTCAAGCTTGACTCCTTAAAGGGAAGCATACCCTTCCAGTCAAAGCCTTGGTAAAACAACCAGTTTCTCCAGTTGCGTCCTATTGCAAAGAAAATGGATTTTTTTTTTTTTTAGCCACTCTGTGGTACGTTGTTACCCTATCAAACTAATGCAGTGCAGCCCTATCAAACTAATGCAATGCAATGATGTATTCAAACTTGAATTTCATTTTTCTTTATTTTTTCCATAGCTTATTGGGGTACAGATCATATTTGGTTACATGAGTAAGTTCTTTATTGGTCATATTTGGTTACATAAGTTCTTCAGTGGTAATTTGTGAGATTTTGGTGCACCCATCACCCGAGCAGTATACATTGCATCCTATTCGTAGTCTTTTATTCCTCACCTCCCTCCTACCCTTCCCCCCAAGTTCCCAAAGTCCATTATATCATTCTTTTTTTTTTTTTGAGATGGAGTCCTGCTCTGTTACCCAGGCTGGAGTGCAATGGCGTAATCTTGGCTCACTGCAACCTCCACCTCCTGGGTTCAAGCAATTATCCTGCCTCAGCCTCCTGAGTAGCTGAGATTACAGGCACCCACCACCGTGCCTGGGTAATTTTTGTATTTTTAGTAGAGACAGGGTTTCACCATGTTGGCCAGGCTGGTCTCGAACTCCTGACCTTGTGATATGCCTGCCTTGGCCTCCCAAAGTGTCAGGATTACAGGCGTGAGCAACCGTTCCCAGCCTATTGTATCATTCTTATGCTTTTGTGTCCTCATAGGTTAGCTACCACAAATCAGTGAGAATGCACAATGTTTGCTTTTCCATTCCTGAGTTACTTCACTTAGAATAATAGTCTCCAGTCTCATCCAGGTCACTGTGAATGCCGTTAATTCACTCCTTTTTATGGCTGAGTAGTATTCCATCATATATATATACACACACACACACACACACACACACACACGCCACAGTTTCTTTATTCACTCATTGATTGATGGGCATTTGGGTTGGTTCCACAATTTTGCAATTGTGAATTGTACCACTATAAACATGCATGTGCAAGTATCTTTTTTGTATAAAGACTTTTATTACACTGGGTAGATGCCCAGTAGTGGGATTGCTGGATCAAATGGTAGTTCTATTTTTAGTTCTTTAAGGAATCTCCACACTCTTTTCCATAGTGTCTGTACTAGTTTACATTCCCACCAGCAGTGTAAAAGTGTTCCCTGATCACCGCATCCACACCAGCATCTATTGTTTTTTGATTTTTTGATTATAGTCATTCTTGCAGAAGTAAAGTGGTATTGCATTGTGGTTTTGCTTTGCATTCCCCTGATCATTAGTGATGTTGAGCTTTTTTTCATATGTTTGTTGGCCATTTGTATGTCTTCTTTTGAGAATTGTTTATTCATGTCCTTAGCCCACTCTTTGATAGGATTTTTTTTTCTTGCTAATTCATTTGAGTTTGTAATAGAGTCTGGATATTAGTCCTTTGTCAGATGTATAGATTGTGACGGCAGGAGAATCATTTGAACCTGGGAGGCAGAGGTTGCAGTGAGCTGAGATTACACCATTGCACTCCAGCCTGGGCAGCAGAGCAAGGCTCTGTCTCAAAAAAGAAAAAAAACTTACTTCAGTTTTCTATTAGTTCAGTCCATTCAGTTAATTCTTGTTTTGCTTGATATTTGTGAACAATTCAGCTCTTCATGAGCCCTTACGTTTTTCTTTTATTCCAATGTCACAATCTCAAAAGTTATCAGAAACCTGCATTTGAAAGCACCTGTCAAAGTTCTATAGCTGATTATAAACCATCCTTTGAAGAGGATCAAGACAAGACAAAAAACTTAACATAACAACCTTAATTGTGATTGCTAGCCTATAGTCAGACCTTAGAATTTCAGAAATCCCATAAATTTTGGAACATATATTAATATTATTCCCTAAAATATAACCTGAGGAAGATTAAACATCATTTTGGCAATCCCATGTACCTAAACATATCAGGTAATCCTGTTTACCTCTCTTCTGTATGCCCCAGGGGCCGTCTGTAGCATCCAAAAACTAGCCATCAAGAAGGACAATTTTGAAACTGAAGTTTGATTTGGAGAAGACTGTTAAATATATTAGAGGCTTAAAGCACTTGATGTTATGAAAGAGAATACCAGATTACCTTATTTGTTTTGCCAAAATGATGACTTGGAAATTTTTAAAAAAGCAAAAACCTTTTATAACCCTTTACGAATTTTGCTGAAGAGCAGATTAGTGCCTTAAGAGTACCTTGTTATGCTTTTATTTTAATTCTCAATTTGCAGAAAAACCATATAACACCCCCCTCCCTTTTTTTTGGATATGGAGTCTTGCTCTGTTGCCTAGGTTGGAGTGCAACAGCACGATCTCAGCTCACTGCAACTTCCGCCTCCCGGTTTCAAGCAATTCTCCTGCTTCAGACTCCTGAGTAGCTTGGATTACGGGCATGTACCACCACACCTGGCTCATATTTTATTTTTAGTAGAGATGGGATTTTGCCATGTTGACCAGGCTGATCTAGAACTCCTGTCCTCAGGTGATCTGCTTGCCTTGGCCTCCCAAAGTACTGGGATTACAGGCATGAGCCACCATGCCCAGTCCATGTAATACCCTTTCGAATTTAGTCAGTCTGTTCACACACAGAATTTCTTTTGCAAGATTAATTCTTACAATCATTCCACAACTCGTTTAAACCTTTAGGTTTATCTTATCTGATTCAAAACAATCCTTTAACCCTAGGCAAAAATTTACATTTTGATGACTTCTGCATTTTACCAATAATCTTTAAGACTGTTTTTATTTCTCAAAGATTAAAGCTATGAGAACTAAAAGGTACCACAGCTTTCATCTTCCCTTTAAAACGTATTTGATCCAAGTGCTTATCCTTCCTTAAGTCAATTAATTAGATCTCTTTTTATAGACATCACACACACAACACATGTATAACTAGACAGACAGGTAGAAGAAGATCCAGTCTGGGGGACAGAGTGAGACCCTGTCTTTAAAAAAACAGGGAAGTCAGGCCGGATACAGTGGCTCACGCCTGTAATCCCAGAACTTTGGGAAGCTAAGGAGGGTGGATCATGAAGTTAGGAGTTCGAGACCAGCCTGACCAATATGGTGAAACCTCATCTCTACTAAAAATATAAAAATTAGCCAGGTGTGGTGGCATGCACCTGTAATCCCAGCTACTCAGGAGACTGAGGCAGGAGAATTGCTTGAA